ATTAACAACCCAACGGAAAAGATGATTAACTAATAGTTAATTTAGTTATCCTATTTTTTATACAATTAATGAGACAAGTTAATTGTTAATCACCAACACTAATGATTAAACAAAACATGATTGAAACAATAATGTTATTATAATTGTCTTCTAATAAATTGTTAAGTAGGTTGATGAACGGAAAACGAGGTGAAGTAAATTAAGTTGAATTATTATTATTAGTATTCAATTTTGATTGTTAATTGTGAAAAATTGATGATAATCATACACACATTAATATTTAGTAAATTATTGAGGTAATTTAATTTGATCAAAACCAAATTAGCTCAAGGAAACAAATTGTTCAAATTCCCAATAGGAATCAACATGGAAAAGAAGCAAAAAAATTAGTTAATTATTTTTACCTTATTCAATTTTTTTCTTACTCAATTGTTTTACTACTTGTTAATCAATTGGGAATTAAACTTGATCATCATTATAATTATGTAATTGTTGGATTAGTGTTATATTGTTTGTTTGTTTTGTTAATTGTTACAATCTCAAGATCATATTTAATCAAAGTAACTTTCAATCAAACAAAGTTTCAGACATTGACATTGATAATGTTTCCTTAATCATTATCATGGTTAAGTTAATGCACTTTAATCTGTCAAAAATATTGAATTAACTTAATTATCTTAATTCAAAGGTATATTGATAATTGAATCGATGATAAATTGAAACAAAAATTATAACAAACAAAACAAAACCAATCAATCTAATTGATTAGTTGATCAGGGTTAACAAAACCAAAGAGCAATGGATTAATTTTGTCTCTCTAACGTTTCCTTTAATGATTAACTTGATTAACACGATAATTAGATTGATATGTTATTAGAATGATCAATTTTTATTTTACCAAATTAAACAATAATCAATCAACAGCCAATAAATTATTATCATGAATCAATATAACCGTAAAATAGATGATTAACTTTTTTTACCGCCTTTTGCTTTTGCCTCAGTACTTAAACCAACATAACTAATGTATTCTAATCAAATTAACTGATTGTTAGAATCAAATTGTGATTATATGAATTAACTAGTCAACCTTTTGATTGTACTTTAATTCAAATGAAGGAGGTGATGGAATATCAGTTGGAAGCCGAAACATTAGATACAATGAATGACCCGCGAATTCACCTCGAAACCGTTGAATTGAACTTATTGTCTTTCGACACACTTCATCTCGAACATTTTAATTCAATCAAATGATAAGCACTTGATAGAGGAATATACAAGTAGTATTAATATGTATAGACTTTGATATTGAGTTTTTTTATTCTATTGAAATATTTACACAAAGAGAATAATAGAGGGAGAGTAAAAAATGTGACATATAACATGCAGTTACAGATTATTGGGCCATTTCCTAATGCTTTTTCTAGGAATTATTGTAGCATCCACGTGTTAGTCTATAGAACTTCATACATCACTTTGATAAGAGTTTGATTGTAAAAAACAATCTCCTTTGAAGAATAATGAGTTTTACCTCTTTGACATTGGCGAGAAGTTTATGTGGATTGCTATTCAATAGAAATTAGATTATTAGTCGTACCTGTTGACTTTGTTCTGTAGAGTCAGTTGATTGGCTCTTTGGGAGATGTTCACTGGATTGAAGTCACACAATATTTGTTTGTATATTCTATTGAGTGTCGATGGTAGATATATTTTCAGACAGAAAGAAGATTTTATTGTTTTTGACGTTTGTAAAATGGAACTGATATCCGAACTATCGAGACATGTTAACATAGAGGTGAGTCATTGAGTTGTCAACTTTGTTGCACCGAAATTCAAAAAGTTTATCGAGCTATTGAGAATCTGAGTGGTCATGTTACTGCTAGTATTGATTTCTGTGGTTGTGCGAGCAGGAGCAGCTATTTCAAAACTCGAACTGATTGACGAGCTGGTAGCTTCTAGATTTTTAACGAGGGTTAATTGAGTTTTTACTTTGAAATCGAAGCTTTGGACGAGCTGGTGGGATTGAGACTCGGTGTACCAGTAGATTGAGTCGTCGTCTCTGAAATCGAAGCTTTGGACGAGCTGGTGGGATTGAGACTCGTACCAGTAGATTGAGTCGTCGTCTCTGAAATCGAAGCTTGACGAGCTGGTGGATTGAGACTGTGTACCAGTAGATTGAGTCGTCGTCTTGAAATCGAAGCTTGGACGAGCTGGTGGGATTGAGACTGGTGTGGCAGTAGATCGTCGTCTCTGAAATCGAAGCTTTGGACGAGTCAGGATTGAGACTGTGTACCAGATTGTCGTTGTCTTGAAATCAAGCTTTGGACGAGCTGTGGGATGAGACTGCAATTAGAGATTGAACCGTCGTCTTGAAATCGAAGCTTTGGACGAGCTGGTGGGATTGAGACTCGGTGTGGCAGTAGATTGAGTCGTCGTCTCTGAAATCGAAGCTTTGGACGAGCTGGTGGGATTGAGACTCGGTGTACCAGTAGATTGAGTCGTCGTCTCTGAAATCGAAGCTTTGGACGAGCTGATGAGATTGAGACTCGGTGTACCAGTAGATTGAGTCGTTGTCTCTGAAATCGAAGCTTTGGACGAGCTGGTGGGATTGAGACTCGATGTACCAGTAGATTGAGTCGTTGTCTCTGAAATCGAAGCTTTGGACGAGCTGGTGGGATTGAGACTCGGTGTAGCAGTAGATTGAGTCGTCGTCTCTGAAATCGAAGCTTTGGACGAGCTGGTGGGATTGAGACTCGGTGTACCAGTAGATTGAGTCGTTGTCTCTGAAATCGAAGCTGACGATGGTGAGATTGAGACTCGGTACCAGTAGATTGAGTCGTTGTCTCTGAAATCGAAGCTTTGGACGAGCTGTGGGATTGAGACTCGGTGTCAGTAGATTGAGCGTCGTCTCTGAATCGAAGCTGGACGAGCTGGTGGGATTGACTGTGTGGCAGATTGTTCTGAAATCGAAGCTTGGAGCTGGTGGATTGAGACTGATGTACCAGTAGATTGAGTCGTTGTCTCTGAAATCGAAGCTTTGGACGAGCTGGTGGGATTGAGAGACTCGTGGCAGTAGATTGAGTCGTCTCTGAATCGAAGCTTTGGACGAGCTGGTGGATTGAGACTCGTGTACCAGTAGATTGAGTCGTTGTCTCTGAAATCGAAGCTTTGGACGCTGAGATTGAGACCGGTGTACCAGATTGAGTCGTCGTCTCGAAATCGAAGCTTGGACGAGCTGGTTGGATTGAGACCGTACCAGTAGATTGAGTCGTTGTTCTGAAATCGAAGCTTTGGACGAGCTGTTGGGATTGGGACTCGGTGGCAGTAGATTGAGTCGTTGTCTCTGAAACGAAGCTTTTGACGAGCTGGTGGGATTGAGACTCAATTAGCAGATTGAGTCGTCGTCTCTGAAATCGAAGCTGGACGAGCTGGTGGGATTGAGACCTGTGTCCAGTAGATTGAGTCGTCGTCTCTGAAATCAGTTTCTGACGAGCTGCTGTGGGATTGAGACTCGGTACCAGTAGATTGAGTCGTTAGTTCTGAAATCGAAGCTTTGGACGAGCTGATGAGATTGAGACTCGGTGTACCAGTAGATTGAGTCGTCGTCTCTGAAATCGAAGCTTGGACGAGCTGTGGGATTGAGACTCGGTGGCAGTGATTGAGTCGTCTCTGAAATCGGTTGGACGAGCTGGTGATTGAGACCGGTGTACCAGTAGATTGAGTCGTTGTCTCTGAAATCGAAGCTTTGGACGAGCTGGTGGGATTGAGACTCGGTGTACCAGTAGATTGAGTCGTCGTCTCTGAAATCGAAGCTTTGGACGAGCTGGTGGGATTGAGACTCGGTGTGGCAGTAGATTGAGTCGTCGTCTCTGAAATCGAAGCTTTGGACGAGCTGGTGGGATTGAGACTCGGTGTACCAGTAGATTGAGTCGTTGTCTCTGAAATCGAAGCTTTGGACGAGCTGGTGGGATTGAGACTCGGTGTACCAGTAGTTTTTGATTGTGTTTCCTGAGAAGGAGCGTCATCAGCACAATCGTACATTCGATCATTAAACCCATATAAACAATCTTCCTTGAAATCCAAAATGATTCGAGATTGAATTCTTTCCTTGATATCCAGCTATCGAAACATCGACAACTAATCGAGTTCGAGGATACATAGAAAATGGAATAGCAATTTGTTTGACTCGATAGCTTTCAACTAAATTGCCATTATTTACTAATAATTGTTGATCCTGAAAACAAAATCTCACTCGTAATCATCCGATTGAACCATAACAATTAAATAGACAAAACCAGGTTGATTCGTTGAGTAGCGCATCATTAAACAAAATGGCGATGGTCCAGCAGGAGGCTCAAGAACTTGACTGAAAATCGTCCAGAAACACGTTGAAAACTAGTTGATTGGGAAATACTGAGTGACCAGGAATCATCGGCACCATTGTTAGGTCGATAAACAAATGAGGTGAAATATGAATCATTAGCAAATTGCAAATGACAACGATTCCCCATGAAATTGCAAACGTTTGCTGCTGATGCAACAATTAAGTAACTAAAAACAATCAATCTAATTGAAATCATTTTCAATACTAAATTGTAGTAATACACAAGACTAAAGTGTCTTTAACTTGATCAATTTACGGAAACGGAATAAGTTCATTGTCAACAATGTTTTCATAATTAAAAACAAGTCTATGGAATCTGAGAGCTATTTGATTATCTGAATCAACTAATTAACTAGATGATGATTAAGTTTTGTATTATCTTTAACACTTATTTGACTTGAAGTGCTTTTTGATTTATTGTAACTTTTTGTCAATTCAAGCAATTAAAGGGTTAATCGTTGTCTCTAAAGGCTAATGATAAATGTTGATTAATCTGATTAATGAAATTCAATCAAGAGGCAAAATGATTAAAATAAATTTTCTCAACTTGTGTTTAGGTTATAAAATTAATTGCAAGAATGATTAATTGATTGAAATTAATTAGACCACATGGAGATTTTAAAGTGTGTCAATCAAATACGAAGATTTTTAATAAAAAATAGATTTACAAACTTTTGTCGATTAATCAAGTTGATTGTTGGTTTGATTGGGAAGAGAAGGAAATATTTATATACCCCTGCTAATGAAGAAGAGAAATTGATTACTGAATTTCTTGATCAGCAGTTGATTTGAATTAATATTTATAATAATAAATCACCGACATAATTTACAAGTAGGAAGGAAAAACTATAACCGGTGATGATGTGACGAAAAAAAAATCATTTCAATTGAATGAAATTGTGAAAGCTTCAGCTTTGGGTCTTGATGGTCTTTCGTGTTGATTTGATCCTTGTCTGATTGCCGATTCAGAGACGTTGATATCCTGCATCTCAACAGGATACGAGGACTTTAAATGGGGTCGACAGAGGGAATTGCGACCTTGAAGGATACTGAGACGTTTGAATGGATCTTCGGGATCGGGTAAGAGACATCGGCCGCTTTTCAGATCCTCAAGGTTCCTTGGATCCATGAATTCACCCTCTTCATCCGCCATAGGAAGTGATCGACCTGTTCCTGGGGGGAGAGGACGTCGTTTTTTGCTCATATCATGGAAAGAGGAGCGAGTTGAACTACATGATGAGATGGATGATGAAGCATAGTGAGAGGAAGGAGCAGATTTTTTAACAGTTTTAGGGAAAATTGGTGTACTCATGGTGAAGGTTTCATTATGTTTAATTCTGTTCTGATTGTTTATTGTAGAGTTTGAGAGTTGATGAGGGTTATTGTTATTGTTCTTGCTGTTGATTGTCATTGTTGAAGATGATGATGATGCTGATGAAATTGATGAAGGTGGAGGTGGAGGAGGAGGCATTATAACTGATTGAGAAAGTTTTATTTGCTCCATTTGTAACATTTTCTCTAGATGTCGATTCTCATCGGCATATCTTTCCTTGGTTCGTCTTTCCATCATAAAAGATTCATCCAACAGTTTAACTTCACTTTCGAGAACAGAATTTTGTTGAGAAAGTTCCCGAACTTTGGCTTCGAGGCCATTACACAATTTGGTAAGTTCACCATTTCGTGTGATTAAATCATTACATGTTTTCCTTAATGAAGTTAATTCTTTCTCCCAATGAGCTGATTTCTGTTCCAACTTTTTAATCTGTTCGGCGGACCTTCTTTTATCCGCTTCTCTTTTAGAAATACAGTTTTTGAGATCACGATAAGAGTCACTTAAACGACTTTTAGTGAGAATTAATTGAGCATTCAAAGTTTCCACTTCTTGTTGTAAACGGTCCATACTGAGAACCTTAGGTTTCAATTCATCAAGTTCGTTCTTCATTTTCTCATTCGAAATTTTAACTTTCTCTAATTCCTCTTCTTGATCTTTCAACATAATTTCGGTGAAAAGAGACACTGGTTCAGCATCTAAAGCGGGCATTTCCACACCGAGAGGAATAAACTGTCCAGATTCATTTAGTAAATCCTCTTTTCTTTGCTCTTTAATGGCTTCCAATGCTTTTTGAAGTTCTTCATTCTCCATGGATGTGGCTTGATACCTTTGCGATAAATCTTCATATTTAGCTTTCAAATCAGTATAATCAACAAATTCTCTGGCGATATTTTCCATGTCCTTCATGGCTCCTTCAAATTTAACACTTAATTCTTGATTACTGGCCCAAGAGCATCGAAGCTCCTCTTCCAAATCTCTAACTTGAGTTTGGGCGAATTTTAAATCACTAAAAATAGATTCTTGTTTCACTTTGAGCACTTCAAATTCACTTTTTAGTTTGTCATGAACATCCAAGCTAACCATATTAGCCATCTCGTCATTTTGTGAATGGACCCTTTTCTTAGCCATATCCAGCTCTTCTCGAAGTTTTTTAATAATAGAATCCTTACTTTTAACTTCAAGTTCCATATCATCTGCTCGAGCTCTTTCATTGTTGAGCTTCTTTCTAATATCCATAAGTTCACGGCTAATATGATACTCTTTGTTATTTTGAGATTGAGACCGATTCCGGTCTCGCAATGGCGTCTTAATGATCGGTGTGCTCATCTTGCTGAGACTTCAAAGCTAAACCAAAAACACAAAGAGCAAGAAAGAGAAGCGCAAAAAAAATTAATAAACGGGATAAGAAAAAAAAACAGATCAAAAACAATAAGAATTAAGACACATTAAGCTGTTTACAAATCACAATCAATAAATTACTAAATTAACTCACCAACAATCAGGGAAAATATAACGATGAAAATTAAATGAAGTTTGAATTTTGGTAACAGACAAAAAAAACGTTAACTTATGTTCATTCAGAAGACGCGATCTGATTGGTCCATTTCGCTAAAAATCGATTAGAAAAGAATTTCGACTAATCGAAAATCGATTTTTCGCCAAAACAAACGAGAAAAAAATCAACAGTTGTTTTTAAATTTCTTTTAATTTCCTTTGTTTAAAGTGTTTATTTTAATTGTTATTCTGTTGATTGTGATTGATTTAATATTCTGATTGCTGGAAAGAATTTATGTTCGATTTGAATAAGAGTGTTGAATTCTATATGAAGAAATGAATTGGATTTTTTTGTTTTCGTTTAAATTTATGATGAAAATGATTGATTGAGATTTATTAGTTATTTTTGTTTCTTTGATCACTTTTAGTTACTATTTGGATACAGTTTTCTTATTTTTGGATAAATTGATAAATATCTTTTAAATTCATTAATATCAACGATTAATTTTGCATCGGATGATATTGATCTTGGTCCAAGATGTTTCAGAATATAAATTCGATCTTCATCATCATCATCAAAAGCTGCTGATCTCTTTTGACGACCAATTAAATGTGAACATTCATGATTATTTTCAAAGTTTGAATTAATCTCAGAGACCATTGGATTATCTCCTGATTGTTCAATCTCCTTACAATCAACGGTTCCATTGATGATTCCATCATCATCATCACAATCAAATCGACGAGGCATAAATGGATTCCTCTCAATGGCATAACTTTCACCTAAAGCTTTCGATCCATTGCCAACCACCTGATCAATAATTTAACGAGAAAGTTAACAGTTAAACAGATGAGAAAAATGTTCAATTTAATGTTATCACAATTAATTACCTGGATGGATAATTTTTTCCTATATGGTGTATTTAGTAATTGAACATAAGACCAAGTTATAAACTCCGAAAGTGTCAACTGTTGTTAAGAAAAGATATTTGATTATTTGAATCACTTTTGTTGAAAGGAAACTCACCTGTTCTAAAGCGATAATATCTTTCGATCTTTTATCGAATCGATATTCTTGTTCTAAAATTTCATGCCAAAAGAATTTAGTCTCTTCGTTTAATGTGATAAATGGAGCACTTTTCACTTTGATTAGTCCTTTCACCGATTCGTCAAACTCTTCTTCTTTCATCGCCATCAATATGCCAGCAAATTTCACTAGAAAAGCTTCAATTCTTGAATCAATGAATGAACAATCAAATTTATCTGCATCACTCATGACAGTTATTGAGAAACCAAGAACTCCGGAGGTTTGATGGTGACTATTGTAGACTTGATATCCTAGACCTTCTTGAGATCTTAAGGTATCGAAAAGACTTTCATACATCGAAGAGGCTAAAAGCTCGTTTAAAACACTACTACGAACATCGGCAGGTTCGAATTGATAGTAATTAGTGATTTCTGAACTTTTCTCTTCCTTATTAAAGGCCAATACACGGCAAATGTGATGACCTGGTGGTAGTTTATTAACTCGATCTTGAGCAATATTAAATTGATAAGTTGGAGAAGCAGAAACTTTTGCGGCCACTTGTTTGATCATAGTTAGAGCTTCGGTCGAGGTAACATTTCCGAGAACCAAACACTCGAGAAAAGAATTACTTAGAATTTGTCGACCAGAGGAAATGGCCATTTCTCGAGTTAGTTGGGGTAGAAAAGTTCGTCGAACTAATGAAGTCCAGAAAAGTGGTTTAATTATTGATATACGGAGGGAATTTGATAATTCGGTTGAGTCATTGAAGGCATTAAAGTATTCATTGCATAGATCACGGCGAATATTTGTAAAAGTTATTTCATCGAATTCAAGTGAAACCAAATGATCAACAATGCAAGAGATAAATTTTGATATTTTATCGTTAAAACCTACAAAGGATAAAATGAGTCCATTGTCATGAACCGTCACATAATAACGGAGACCCGCTAATGAGGCCGGATAAACGTCTTCCTCTGCCTTCATTATTAAAGCTCTGACATAAACATCAAGAGCTGCGGCCACTAAAGGATAAGAACGGGCCATTGGTGATCGGAAAATCATGTTAACACAAACTTTAGGCACTTCGTATTTGTTACTCAATTTGTACCACAATCGCCAGTTAAGAGTTTCCTTTATACATTCTGGATATTCCTTAGGAATCGAATCATCAACATTCGGTAAAATTTCAAAATTATCGGGAATAAATTCATTGGGCAACGGGAAATTAACATCGACATCGAAATCAGCTGGTTTAGTGTAGTTCAACCATCTATCGGGTATATTGTTCACCTTATATTTAGTTCCATACCATTTTTCGGTCTCAATGGGAGCTTGTGATCCATTGAAAAGTTTCTTCGAAAATATTATGTAATTGGCTCGAGATGGTGTAAGATGGGGAAAAGCTTGACGAATCAAATCTTCATCGATTTGAAACATGATTTTACGACCAGTTAGAATATGTTCAGTTCCAAAATGATTCATATTTTCGGCGATTGTAACACAGTTTCTAGTACCACTTTTCTCATTAGCATAGGCAAAAGAGTAAAGACGAATTGCTTGATCTTCCTTTAGATGATTCAAATGAGGACCTGAAGATTTAATTTTATCGATAAAAGTCCAAATATAATCGACGATTTGGTCCAGGTTTTCCATTCCAAGCGGTGTCAATTTCACTTGGATTGTAAATAGAGCTTGATACCGATTAGAAACGAACCCGTTATCGTCGTTACCTGCTACCATTTCCAATGCAAAACCTTTTTTCTTGAGAATTGAAAATAAACTTCCCTTGCCTTCATCTCCAAGAAGCGATCCAAGGTGAGATAATGGTTTGGATTTGTAATCATTGAATTTTGGTGGAAGCCAAAAGTTGATATGAAAAAAGTCTCCCGATGACACTGGTTCGATGTAGAAAAGTTTACAAAATTTAGATTCTTGGTACGGGAAAACATTCGATGAATTTACTCGTGACTCTAACGGGATGAAAGATTCACTTGTTGGTGGAATTCTAGAGAAATATTCGCACACCCACTTTTCCATGATCTCCAGATCGTATTCACCTTGAACCACAAGGCTCATGTTGGATGCATGATAATGTTGAGTCCAGAATTTCACCACTTCCTCGTTGAGATTTATACCTTTGGCCTTTGGCTCATCAACAAGACTTTTGGCATTACCAAAAGAGAATTTGTACAAATCGTGATCAGGTAAGACTAAAGTGGCGAATAAACTGTCAGTCCGACATTCATCATCATTAAGAGAATTGAGAAACTCATTGTCAATAGGACGAATTTCGTTATATAAACTCGATTCTCTAAACAATGGAGATACAAAGATGGCAGCGAATCGTTGAAGTGACTCTTGAAGGTACCGATTGGGCACTTGGAACTCGTAGACTGTGTCCTCGAATTCAGTGTGAGCATTAACATAACCACTTTTTCTGTTAAGAAAAGTGTCAAATGAATTCTCTTCAGGATATTCCTTGTTGCCCATGAGAATTACATGTTCCACCAGATGAGCTAATCCTTGGACATTAAGAGGATCCGAAAGTGTACCTACTCGAACTGAAAGAGCAGCTCCACAAAGCTTTTTACCCTCTTTTTGTTCACCTGTTGAATAAGAGAAAGAAACAGAAATTGAATAAAAAGTAATTGATTCCAATGAGAAAAAAGGATAAATCACCAAATACCTTACCGATACTCGCAGTTTCATCTGAAGCATCTGATTCATCATCATCATGATGAGAGGTTTCCGATGAAGTGGCCGATGGTGTGGGTGATGGTGGACAATCAGTCGGATGACCACAAGGGTCCGAAATCAGAAGAGCTCGTAAACCATTAATCAATGTAACCAATTTATACCTTTTCTTATCATTAATTGACTTAAGAATGGCTCCTTCTTTCACTAAGTACTTGGCAAACATTGCGCTCAATCAGCTACCTGTTGACGACACTAATTGTTGGTAAATAATATCCAAAACTGGATGGACAATAAAAAAAATCAAGGATAAGACAATCAACAAGATGATATTAATTAAAAATGGCCACTCAACAGAAAACAAAACATAAAATAAAACCAAAACCAAAACCAAAACAAACACAATTTACTTACTTTTGATGGATGGAAATTAATGTGAGTAATTAAATTGCTAAAGATGATTAGAAGAAGGTTATTGATTATGGTCAACAGCTAATCATCCAGACTAATCAGCGTTTCTTTAAGTTAGAGAATTAAAATTAAACAAAACATGTTGACAACATGAAGAAAATCCTGTTTATCAAAATTCATCCGAAAACTATGGTTACCCGAATAGCGGTTAAATTAAATTAAATGGTGATCATGAAATTGAATTAATTGTTGGACAATTTGGAAATTTATTCTTTAATAGTGATTTTCATTTGTTATTGAAAGTAAAAGGGTATCATCAGTATGATGGTAAATTGATTAATTGGTTTTCCATGGATGAAGAGTAAATGTTGTTGATTGTTGGCTGTTCGTTTAAGTTGATTGGCACCAATTGTTGGACATCTTTAACTGTGATTAACCGATGATCGGTAATATATTCCAATCCTTTGTACATAAAGAAACCGGAAAACAATGAACCTGAACGGAAATAAGGCCACCAGAACTTGAAGTCTTGCCATAAGAGATGGTAGGGAATAGAATCAATTGGAAACCATTTTGGTTTCATTTCCTCTGATTCCATTGGAGTTCCAGAGAAAGAGGTGACTTGATAAACATGAGATTCATGGACATCAGAATAAGTATCAGAATCGAAACATAAAATTCCAACTTTGTTCATCTCCTTGACGATTAACGATGATTCTTCATAAAGTTCCCTTCGAACCGAGACCTCGATATCTTCAAATTGTTCAACTTTACCACCGAATCCACTCCAAATTCCGACACCGAATCCTCGCTTCTTGTAACCCAACAGAACTTGATTAGTCTCTTGATCAGTAACCAGAACTAAATTGTACACTTTTCGCCCTCTATTCATTTCCTAAGATATTAATCCATTATCAGATTAAGAAGAAGATGTTGATACAAATTATTAATATGAATTAGAGTCACAAACATGACTTACTTATGATGACTTACTTATGATCGTTTTAAAAAAGTGAAACAAATTGGTTATAATCAACAGGCGATTGGAAAGACAACTATTAAGTAATTTAGTGATCAAATTAATCTGTGAAATCAAATAAACAAAGGGATTGAAAATGTCAATGGAAAGTGTTAAAGTCAAATTGATTGCTTTCGCTTCAGCAAGAGACTTGCTAAAACAATCAGAGATTACAATTAACTTACCTAAGGTTTGGTCGACTGATGATAAACTGAAGCGACATATTTGTGTTAATCTTTTTCCACAATTAACTGTAATCCAATCAACAATTATCTTGGCAATTAACGAGGAATACGTTCATCAACAATCACAGATAATCCTTAATGAGTCGGATGTAATTGCTCTGATTCCTCCAATTACTGGGGGGTAGAATAACTTAAACATGATACAACAAGTGTACCATTGATTATTATTGTATTAGATCAACAGTGATGATATTAAATCAACATGATCAGATAATTAAAGAGTAAAATCGTAATTAAAAATTGAAAGAAAAGCCTATTCAATCATCTTTCATTTCTTCCGGTTAATCATAGTAAAAGGGATGATAATCAACTTAATCATCACACTTAATTTGATTCCTTACCCAACATATAATCTCAAATTCAATCATCAAGGTGACAATTAATTTCCAACACAATTAATAGTCAATTAAATGGATCAACAATTTCGTCAGTTTTGTTTACATTAAATTCTGATCGTCGATACATCGATTGACTGAATCGATGGTGGAAAATGAAAACATTTTTGAGGAAAAATGTCAACAAATTTTGGTGATCAAGTTGATTGTTAATTTAAGTTAATTTCTAATTGTTTATTTATTCTTGTTTAAAGTAAATTAGTTAATTTAACTAGTCCACAATTGAAATTTTACATTAAATTTGTGGCTTGAGTTTAAAAGATGAGCTGGTAAGTGAAAGTGTTTTGTTTAGTCTAATGATTGTTGATTCAATGTTTTTATTTGTTTATTTGTTTTTAATTGTGATTGTTTTGTTATTTTGATTGATTTAAATTGTTAGGAATCCATTGAGGAAAATTACTTCATCTTTTGGCCAATCTTCCGTTCCAACTCCTGGTAACAATAATGGTAATAATAATGATGAATTATTGGTAAATCTTTCGGGTTTAGATAATTTCGGTTCAACTACAAATTCTGATGGATCTTTATTACCTGATGAAGTGATTAAATTAACTGGACGAGTTGATGGAGTTGAATTAGCTACTAAAAAGATTCACAAAAGTGGTAAAAAATTGACCGAAACGATTATTAAATTTAGTCGACATGAAAGTAAATTAAGTGAAGATTTAGCCAACAGTTTATTGTGTCAACAATATTATCCACAATTTCGTGAATTGGTTCAAGACTGGCACACATTTAATTGCGAGACCAGTGAATTTGGCGATAATCTAGGAGTGGCAATTCAAAGGATGATTGTTGATCCAACAAAAAAGTTCCAATCGATTCTGAATGATGTGAAAAACGAATTGAATAAGCATAAAACGTTATCCGAATCATTGATCAAATTGAATTCAAAGGTTTCCCAATTGAGTAAGAAGGAGAAAACTGGTAATGTTTTTGTCGCTTTAGAAAAGACTAAAACTCAGCTCACTGAAACGGAAGAAAAATTTGACAAACAATCAAAGTTAATTGCTGATCAAGTTCCTGCATTACTTGACTCACGAATCAAATATTTCAACCTTGTCTTGAAGGACTAATCAAATCAGAATTGCTTTTCTGGGGCGACTCTTTTGGTACATTTAATTCACATTCAACAATGTCCAATGAATTTTCACAAATTTCGACCAAAAATTGGAACGACTATTCAGCCAAACAAGCGCAACTTTTATCCTCAATTTCATCTCTATCAATTGTTGGTGATCAAGGGGGTTAATCATCATCATTAACTGTTTAACTAATTTATTTACACAACTATCAGATTTTTTTTCTAAATTCTCATTATTTTTTTTTTCAATTTAAAATCAATTCTTGTAAACCTGAGAATCAAAATTATTAAACGAATCAAGTCAAAGACTTTGAGTTCTTAATCATCTTTAAATCATTTGTACAGGTGATGATAATCAAATGACCATTTTAAGATATTACATCGTTTAAATAAGAGGGTATAATTTGCTTTGGTTGAATTTATCTCTCATTGATTGTATTTGATTGAAAACTCAAAGTCTTTGGCTGTATAAGAGACAAACCAGAATTTATAAGAAACAACCTTCCCATCAATTAATTTTCATCAACTCTACTAATTTACAGATTAATAAACGACACGAATGGAAACAATTATCAGAATGTAAAATAGGATAATCAAATTGATTTCAAGTTTAAATACTTTTGAATGAATAAATTCTCCCGAAATTAATTCACCGAAATAAGTCATTTTCAATATGAAAATTGTGAAAACAAATCACAATGAAAAGATTAACTGTAAGTTTTAGTTAATTATGATATTACAGGTCTTAGATTATTTCTCTCTCAGATTTGATTCCAGTAAGATTTGTTGTTTGGGGCAGAACCTTTTTGAGCTTGGTACATAGACCTTTGACCGCCTACACCGGCTCCTCCACTTTGAGAAGTATCAGCTTGAAGTGTGTGATGTAACATAGATGGTTGGGTTTGCGGCATCATTGGGATATATTGATTTGGTGGCTGAGGTGCATACGTTGATCCTAACGTATTTGCTTGTTGGGCTCCGGCCATGTTGAATGGGGGTGGGGTGGCTGTTTGAAAACTAGTTGGTTTGTCGTAACTCTGAATAGTTGGTAAGAGACAAAAAGTGTCAATCATTGGTGGATAAGCATAAGCATAATCTCTCATGTAAATCTGAGGATAACCAACTAATATACTTTCAGAATTGAAACTTACTTTGTTCAGTTGAGGGTGACTTTTTCCATACATGGCATTAGAACCAGAAAGATCGTTAGCGTTACTGACATTGATTCCTTTAACCTGTTGTTGACCTGTTGATGGACCATAATTGGTTTTGACATAATCTGTTGGGGGAGGAACTGCAGCTAAGGAATCATAGCCAGCCGAAGCATAAGAATGAGATCCATAACCAGTTGTCCCTTTAGGGAAAGCCGATCCTGTGGAGCCAGTATTTGTGGCTGGTGTTACAGGGAAAATTGGAGCTGCAGGACCGTATAAACTTTGCGGCATCATATTAACACCGGGAGTGTAAAAGAAGCTGTAAGCGGCATGAGGTATCTGGCCAAAAATAGCTTGATTATGAGTCTGAGACACTGGTGACTGTGTGGACACAACATTAGAACCATCATTATCAGCTCGGCTATACTTCAGATCTAACGAGACAAAGAAAAGTTAATTAGTATGACAATCGAGGTGTGAAAATTTGAACCAGATTAGGTTTAATAGTTTACCTGTATTAGCAGAGTAGGCAAAATTGTGATCTCTAGCATGAGGCGCAGTTGGAATTGAGGAAACATCATAGAAAGGATAGAAAGCCGATAATCCAGCTTGACTCATTATGTACTGAGTTCCCATGAGAGGTGTAACTCCAGGAGGGACATTAGGTATTCCCTTACCAGCTATAAAAGGAGAGATGAGAAATATGTTCATTAGTAAACTAATATGTCACAAAATGATAAAAATGTAACATTTGCAGTAGGAATACTTACTTGCAGTAAGAGAGTTTTTCAGGACATTAGTTGTAACAGTTGAATTTGAAACAAGGCCTAAAGATCCTCCAGGGGCAACATTAGGTACACCTTGAGTAAGATCATAATTGTGTTTGTGTTGAGTGTTGGATGCGTCCAAATCTTTAATACCTCCAGTTTTTTGCCCTGAAACATTTACATGGCTCGTTGCTGCACTAACTGGTTGGAAATTAGAGTAGTTGGTAGCTGATGAATATGCCCCAGGAGTTTGATTAGTTGAATAATAGGGTGTGGATGTAGTAGATGCACCATAGTTAATATTAGCTCCATAAGCAGAAGTTGGATCGGCTTGTGGATAAGATGTATTTTTGTAGCTTGACATATCACCTGTTGAAGTTTTCGAGGAGGTTTGAACTTGCGATGGTCCACTTTGGTAAATGTTCTTATTGTGGTTACCATCCAATACTTTTGTTCCATAATTAGCTGAAGCGGCCTTGTTTCTGTCGAGACCCATTTCAGCAGCTATTGTCTGATGACCAAGAACAGAGTTTTGTAAAACTAGATCCGATGCTGTCCCGGCTGAAGATTTTACATTACCACTTCCGGTGTTCTGATTGTTATTGGCTGCACGGAAAGCATTATCAGAGACCGCTTGGTTTAATAAACCAGATGAACCAAGGCTATTTGCGCCTGGAACAGAAGTGGGACCAGGAGCTGGTTTAACCTGGTTTGTTTTAGATTTAACATGATTCACAGCATCATGGAAGGCATTATTGGCCTCAGGCCCTAGATCAAAAGGCATAGCGCCAAATTGCACGTTCAACGCAGATATAGAGTCATTGGATGGCATTTCTACGGCAGATTCAGGTATTTTACTCGATCTCTTAACAGTAAGTCGTGGAGGTTTAGCTGAAGAAAGGCTACCAGAAGAATTATCGACTGCAACCTCCAGCTGCCGTTGCGACAAATCAGATACCTGATTGTCTAGACTATCCGAATTCATAATATTAGCATTGTTTGAATTATAAGTTGTTGTTGGAATTCCAACCAATGATTTAATGTTCTCCGTTGCTTGTTTGGTGTACTGACTTAAAGAGAATTTGTTGATTTGAGGTGATGCTTGAGAAGAAACTGCTTGTTGTTGTAATTGCTGTAGTAGAGCAGCTCCGGCAGAAGAGTTTGTCGCGCTACTTCGAGGCACATTGCTGCCTAAAATAGAGCTCATCGATTGTTGACTTGGTTGGTTGGGTGAATCATTGCTTTGTTTACCTAATAGACTACCAAAGTTAAGACCTTGATTAGTAGAGTTGGTGATAGGATTAGACGGTAGATCACCACCAATATCTTCCTTTTCTGTCAATGCTTTGGTACTTGGTGTGAAAACTTTTGTTTCCATTAACTAATGAAAGAGAGCGAGAGAAAGAGAGCAAGATGAGAAATTACGTAAAATTAAAACACGAGCAAAAATCGAGAAAAATTCTACTTACACTAGAGTCCCAATCTTCTTCACTCCAGTCTTCATTACCGGCAAAATCAGACCAGTTACCGACGTTCATTGTGGTACACTCGTTGGTTAATTTGCTGTTAGCTTGATCAGCTGTACTGTTGGTCCATGTATCGATAGAATTGGGGAAACCATCATTGTTGCTACTATTAGCCGTGGTTGTGGTGTTTCTATAACCCTTATTCTGGAATAAACGAGCTCCACGACCACTACCTGTACCTCGGTTTGAGAAATTACCTCGAGTTGAGCCACGACCCCGGCCTCTCCGGCTATCACCACGCCTTGGAGGTAAATTTTTATTATTGGCATTATCATCTGGTGCCGTGTTTTCATTATTCTCGCTGGTTATATCACTTTTTTCGTCCTTTTGTTTCCAATTAGAGGATTTACCGCTGCCACCTGCTCCTCTTTGAAGACGAGGTCCTCCGCGTCCTCTATTGCTGGATACCTTCTTATCTCCAGTGTATGAAGACTCTGTAAACAAGAACAAGTAGAAATAAGTATAAGAAAAGAAGCCAATTAACAGAAAAAATGCTTAAAAAACAAAATGACAAACATACCGTTGGCATTGGATTTATCTTCTTTATCTGGTTGCGATGATTGAGAAACAACGACGGCTTTTGGTTTCTTCTTTTTTCCAGTGCTTATCCATTCAGTATTTTTAACTGATTCCCCTTCCAGAATCATATCGATGGCTCTGTCTAGACTATTGTCACAATCATGTAGAGCAACCACCGCTTCATCTCGGGTAGCATTGGTCAACTCAATTATTTTCTCAACTTTACCTTGAAGTTCAGAAATATCAGTTTTATCAATCATAAGATCAGCAATTCTTCTCTGTTCAGCTGATGGTTGCTGTAAGTAAAAAAAAGAGAGAAATATGAGATTAGTAAAATTAATTAGATACCTGTTGAAGTGGAAATAAATCAATCTAAGGCGCACTAAATCCGTCATCATCATTGAATTTGATGCTTGACAAATACAAATAAATTTAGGATAATTCAGAGCTTGCATATGGTGGTAAACAAAATATCATCTCTTACCTTTGGGCTCACTTTAGCTTGCCGGTCAGTGGTCGCCGAACCGTGTGTTCGGTCTTTAGTTGATGTGGACATGTTCCTGGGAATAGAAAAACACCAAAGGATGAAAATTTATCACTGACGATGGAAAATGAATTAAAATCGAATAAATTTAGAAAAACAAAACAAGAAAAAAAGGGCGATAGATAGACAGAAAGAGAGCTGATGCTGATGATATAGGCGATGAAGAATGAATGAGGAGGGAGAAAGAGACAAGGAGAGAGAGAGATACAGAAAAAAAGAGAGTGAGACAAAAATGCAAATGGTGATATTCAATTTAAACAGATTAAGGGTAGACCGGGAGGATAAGGGGATTAGGAATAAAACAGGATAAACAAGATGACCAGATTAAGGGGAGATTTTAAGATGGAAAAGAAAAACAATGAGTGAGTAAAAGATTAGAGGGAGAGATAAACGAGAGATAGAGTAAGAACACAAATAGAGCAAAAACAAAGATGGTAGAAAGAGAATAGAATAAATACAAAAAAAAATATGAGAGAGAAGGAGAGATAGAAAGAAAGAAAAAAAATTTCTTAGAATGAAGATAAAAAAGAGATAAAATAAGGAGAGTAACAAGGAATGGAAATTGGTTAACGGTGAGTTTTAACCCAAGATGGTGGCTGAGTTGTTAATCCCAACACACAACACACACCGTGGAAACAAAATAGAAACACAACCAAAACTACCTGTCAGACTGTGATTTAAGTTGACGATTAGAGTTAGAAAGTCACTCACCTTAATTACGTTGTCCTCAGAGATCAACTTTAAGCTAAAACCTCATAACAATTTACAAATCAAAAAGAAAATAAACCAAAGATTATTAACAAATTTTACTTATTCGTTTTTCTCATACAATTTTCAATACAAAACCGAACAAAAGAAACAAACATGCGTCACAAGCTCCGGAAACACATTTTAGAAGTTGCGCCATCTCTCGGTCGTGCGACGCACTACACATTCGATTTTTTTGAAAACTCACCAGTTCGTTTTTCGGCTCTCGAACATTTAGTTTTTTTTGGTCTTGGGGCATCTCGGCGTTTTGGGTATCACAATTAACTGGCGGTGTTTTGGTTTTTAGGTTTGTGTGTCGATCAATGAGAGAAAATTTTAAAATAAACAATCACATTATTGATTCAATTCAAATTCGTATCCATTGTTAATCAAATATTGATGAAAGTTGTAATATTTACTTTTGTAACTTTTCAACGTTCACATGATACACTAATTAACAAGTTGATTCTATTAATCTTTAATAGTTTATTTGATAATTTTAGAAATTGATATAACAATTAGTTGTTGGTTTTTATTAAGAAATGAAAGTTGAACCAAAAGTTAATTTCGATTTGATTGGAAATGTAAAAGTATTTTTCTTTTTAATAATTAACCAGTTGATTCTATTGGTACAATAATAGATTTAGAATTACAATGTTATGATTAAGTTTATGTTCTTTGTTAAGCAATGATAATTTCTATGGATGTGATTCAAGTTCTGGTTTTTTCTCAGAATCTGTCACATCGGGAAACGAATGAGCACCAGTTTCTGTCATTCGACGTTCTTCTAATCGATTTCGTTTCCTTCTAGTGTTAGGTGTTTCTGATAACATTCGTTTCAATTTAGGCCCAGGTCGGGAAGATTTCTTCATGGTCAGACTTGCCGAAAGTCCAGGAGATTTAATTCTTGGCCCTGGAACCGATAAAGCAGCACCTAAGGCCTGTTTCTTACGAACCTGTACCATTCCATACATAACCTCAGCTAAACTATTCTGTACATTGTTTTGTTTACCAAACGATTTTGACCTTTCGATCTTTTTACCCGTCACATAAAATGTTTCCATTTCACCTTTACCCTTAACCGGAATGGCCCCTCGATACTGGACACGATAACCTTCCTCTTCAAGTATCTCAGCCGCCGATCTTGGAACCTGAATATGGTCAAGCTGACCCGTTGAGTCCATTCGACTGGCCTCATTCACAGTATTTCCCCAAATGTCGAAAACTGGTTTCTTGGCACCAATAACACCTCCGACCAATGGACCAAAGCTTATCCCTAATACACGAAAAACGAGATAATTTATTCACATTCAAAGCCATAATTCTGACCTTTGATCGTTCAAAGAGAACACGAAAAACAAACAAACAAACAAACACTAATCGAACACAGAATTATGATCAACATTATTATCTCATGTTGATCAATATCCCCAAGTTGAAGCTAATCGATTAATCAGTAAACAAAGTTTAAGGTCAATTAGACGAAAATTGTTCTGATGACGTTAATGACTAATATAAAAAAAAAGATCCATGAGGAAACTCAAGATAACTTCATTTCTGATTCTCTAAGGATAAATTTCTCATCCTCATCATTTTCATAATGAGATTAAATTTATCATGAGGCGAAATAAAAAAACTACATATTAATCAAACGTCGCAATGACGATATTTAGACCCATTAATTTCAGCATCATCTCCATTATCATCCTAATTGTTATCACCGTATTCTGATCATCAGGTACGATATTTGGGCTCTAATTTGATTTAATAATAATTAAATTATTTACCTGACAGTTAACATTCACTGACCAATCTACTGGTCTCTCTCCTGATAATATCCATTAGATAATTTAACCATTATCAACTCATCTAATCAGCTATCTAATTAACGGTATCATCACAATTACCTTGCAAGTGATGCTAATCAGTTATGCAATTAAATTAGACAATCAAACAAAATCAGACAAACAAACAATCAACAAAAAACTAATACAACATCAAACTTAAGTTTTATGTTGTTATTATTTTCATGATATTGAATTAACTATTGATAAAAACGATTAACAATCAAATTGATTATCAATATTATCAACCAAATTATCATTATTAGACCACAATTTATTTACATCATTTCAGTTTAATGACAATAAGTTAACCATTAATATCAGTTAATGATAATCAACTTGAAATAATCAAGTCTAGACTCTGAATACATTAATTGTAAGTTAATCGTAACTTTTATATAATAAGAAAACTTAATTGATATAATTTATTATTCAACGAAAAGTAATAACAATCATAATAAACTAATCAACTAATGTAATAACAACTTAAAACTTAATTTCATTTAAATTAATCAACAGTCAATTTGTTTACCGATTGTAACAATGTACACAATCAAATGAGAAACTTGTTGATTGTTGATGAGCAAAATTTACTTTCAATTGTAATAAGACTAACAATCAGGATAATGTTAATATCTAATATGAATCAATGTAAATCAAATCAAGAAACAATCGACTGATGATTTAATTTAAATTGATTTAAGATGATGAATAATTTAGTTTACAATTTATTTTTACAGTTAATCATATATACTAGTACATTTATTAATATATTAATAATATTACCTTACCCTTTGGTAGACTCAATATTTAATATATAATTTATATCTCAATATATAATTTTATACATGATAATTAAGGTAAATAAACATTGATTAAATCAATTGTTTACTTAATTCATAATGATAATCATTGATTAATTTTTTACTTGTTGATTTTCATGATAATAATTACATTATTACAAAAGTCAATTCACCATTTAAACCTTAACATATTAAAATAATAAAGGTAAAACAATCAATGTAATTAATAAATAAATCAAACAATGAAACAAAATTGCTAAATCAGTAACAATCTAACCAACAATTAATAATAATAAGTTAACTTACCTGCTCGCAATTTAAAATTATTGAATGAATGTTTATTAACCTCCTCAAGTGATTCCTTCATTGCAAATGTGTATTCAATTAAACAGGTTAAATGATTAGCTGCTGATTTATTCTGATTGTGATTAGAGAAAGTATAATATATAAATTGTCCCAATTAGTTGAGATTGAAATTCAAAGTGAATCACAATTAACTTAATTACCTGATCCTTAGGACTTAAACCAGCAGCCGCCATGTAGGTTGAACTGATTGTTTTAATTTTTTCAATTGAACGGAATCGATCCTCATCAAGAAGCTTCATTAACAAATTAAAGATTAGACAATTAACCAATTAACTTAATCATTCATAATTGTAACAATTTACCTGATCAAAGTCAAATATAATCTCATTTAGTAATCGTATACACTCAAGACCATTGTTAATATCTTCAGAGTAAAAGTTGGCAAAATTTGGTATGGAAGCAAATAGAACTGAACAACAAGCATATGATTGAGAATACAATTCCTGTAGATGAGTTTGGAAAAGTTAATTATAAGCAATTAATCAGGACAATTCCATGAGATACTTACATCTGAAGTTCTGTCATGAGTTAGAAAATAAGTAGCTACATGATCAGGTAGAATATTTTTCAGCAATTGGGTATTGTAGTGTCTCAATTCCCTCATATCTTGAAGCTCTTTTTGAGCTTGTAATTTCCATAGGAAATCCAATCTCGAAGTTCTTTCGATCTGAATTGAAAATAATAGACAAGTTATCAATTAACTTTCGTTTCGTTATAAACACTCATCTGAATCTTACCAATCGACAATGGTAGATGACCACAAAGAAGTACAAAATAATCAATATCAACGGTCTAGTTCTGAAAGATGTGAAAAATTATGGTAATCAGAACAATTATTCAATCGTAAATCAATCAAAAATTATTGAGAAAAACAAATGAATCAAAATTTAAACTAGAAATTTATATTTTTTCCATGAAAAGTTTATCGAGGTAACTGAGTTCTATCCAATATTCATCGTTCATCTGATCGTTTTTACTTATTTCATGTAAATATTATTTGATATTGTATAATATCAATTTTTACTCAATTGTTTATACTTTTGATTAAATACTCAGAATGCTCAGAACCTATTCAAGAGTAAATAAAGTTCAGAATTGAAAAATTGGGTGTAATAAAAACAATAGAGTAACATATGACTAGGAAATAATAATATCACCATGAAAATATTGATTCTAATTTATTCAATAGTTTGATTCCAAACTTTTTTCGTATTCTTTTATAAATATCTTTTCATTCATTTTCCTGAATCATTCCCAGAAGCAATTGGTGAAAATTCAGTTATCCATATTTTTCACCGTTCCGATTATATTCTCGACCAAGTTTTCTCTTTGTATTCATGAAGATTTGTTTCTTTTTTTTTGATTGTTTGTTTATTCCAAGTTCAGATAGGGGTTGAAATTCTGATGAAGCAAAATGAATCTGAATTTATTCCTCATTTCCTGTGAGTTTCTCAAAGTATGTACATAAAATGAACTCTAATGAACAAGAGACCGAACTTTTTTCTCTTTCGTTGTAACGGTATTTTCCATTGAGAATTACAATGATGATAAAAGACTATTTGAGTTCCGGTGATTTTATCATGAACTCAGTTTTGTAATCTTTTTCGTCAATGGAAAAGTTTTTTCATTTGCTTTTTTATATGAGAAAAGTTTTCAGTCAGAACTTTTTATTTACTTTTTAGAGAAAATTTTACTTCTGATTTGTGTATTCTTGCCCATGAAGATCATTGGAGCTTATTCTGACAAAGAAAATGTTCAAATTATGCTTGGAACTTTTAAATAGAATTTTTTTATTCTTTTCTTCAAAAGATTTAATTCAAATTATGATACACATGAATTTCAAGTTCGTTTTCATTCAACCGGATGTTGGTCAAGCTTCTGTGAATCAATTAACGGACCGGAAACATAATGGCAACAATTAGCTAATCGCTAAGACATGAAATATATGAAATGAAATCATGTGAATCTTCAAAAAGGATCAGAAAAGTTCAATAATTACATGAAAAGCCTTATCATCATGTATCTTAACTTTATGATTAATGAATTACTATTAAGATGAAAGGATAAATTAATAAATAACATGATAAAAACTTGAGATAAACTTTTTTTTCTTGTTTCAGGCTTAATTTTGATTCATCAATAAAGAATTGAATTGCTAATCCGTTATAATGACAGTTTATTATTAATGATATAATTGAATATTTAACTTACTCATCTCTTGGAATGGATGGAATATGATTGAGTAAAAATATAACCATCATGATATAAGCAGAGGTCATGGTGAATAGTATGATGAATTTCAGGGTATAAGGAAGTTTAAGAAATGCTGTTGAAGCGACCATAGTTAATAGCCAAGAGTAAATGAAGTACTGAGAATGAAAATTTAAGAAAAGTTGATCAATTATTAAAAATAATTCCATTCCAACAAAGATTAGATCAGAACTCTGGTGAGAAACATTAATTAGCTTGAAATTATCACGAACAAACCTCTCGATAAACATAACATTGACTTGAAAGACCAGGGGACCAGGGCGAAGATGGAGAAGATGAATTTTCAGTTGAATTGATGCTAAGATGATAATCCATTGAATCACAGAATAACTGAGAAAATTCAAGTTCCATAACATGTGAGATAATTGAAAAAGAAGAAGAAAAAATAAAAAAAGTTCAATTGTTATTCAAATGTTCATGGGGAGTGAAATAAATTGAAAATCACCTCGAACCATGAGAAAAGTATATTAACAGTTATGATAATAACTCTTAGCAATAAATGCTTCCAATAGGTATTAGTTTTCACTCTTACAGGATAAAAGAGATTGAAATCTTTAAGATTCTGAACATTTTGTAAATTCTGAAATTCTTAACAATTGAATATTTTGATTCCTTTTTTTATCATTGTAATTTATAACAAAAAAGGAAAGCAAATTATTATGTGTTGGTATTCAAAATTCAGGACTCATCATGATAGATGACATTGTTCATTGCTGAACTTTGCGTTCAATTGTAGACATAATTGAGATTGTTGGTAAACCATTTATACAATTAAACTAATAGTCTGATTACATTGTGAGCGTTAATTTATTTACAGGTCACAATAGATTGAGTTGACTTGGAGAATATACTTAATTATGGGTCGAGTTAATTGTTGTGAGTTTAATTGGACTTACGATTGTTGATGAAGTCGCTAAAAAAATGATTATAATTAACAAGCAGCTTAAGAAATTACAAAATAATCGAGACTCATCCAGGGAATGTGAAAGTTTCTGAAAGGATTTACAACACCAATCAAACTCAGATGATAAGGTAATTGCCAACGATAATCCCATGATAAGTGAACCAATTATGAATAAGGTAACAAGAATTAAAGATCTAATTATGATAATAATTAAGTAATGATAATAATCAGGTTTAATTATTTGAAGAGATAAATAGGGAAAGAGAAAAGTGAAGAAAAAAAAAAGTTGTTACAAATTAATTAATATGAAGATTTGATCAATCAAACAGCGTTTAAGTTGATTGCTGGAATGATTAAGTAAACATTATCTTGTTATGATTACATGATAATGCGATAAATAATCAATTGATTGTAACAATTAACGATTTACCTTGAAAATATAATAAGTTGAGAGCCACAAAGTAGAAGCCATATCACAGCAATACAAAGCATATTGGACCTGAATACACTGTCTTTCGTTTGATGAAACTATCGATAACCACCATGGAACAAAAAAGAAATGAAGAAAAAAGTTCTTTTAGTTTTATATGTACTTATATCATTCGAAAAAGTTCAATTATAAATTCAGAGAGAGAGAGAGAGAGAGAGAGAGAGATTCTGACGATTCTAAGACTTTTCTTTCACCTATTAATAAATGAGCTTCAGAATTCCGAGTCGACTTATTATCATTATTGTTATTTTATTCTTCACCTATTTTTTTTTGTATTAAAAGAATACGATTTAGAATAATAATTCAAGTTCTTTATTAAATAATAATCATAATGATAAGTTAATTAGTAAATAATAATATTAATTTCTTCAGAATCTATTCAGAACTTTTCTCTTCTTTAATAACTTCATTGTGCAAGAAACTATTATTAATAGGAGACTTTATTAATATCATAGTTATTTCCTGAATTATTCTGATAATTAAGATAATGATGTTAACAATCATGACAGTTATGATAACAATCTATTAATTGTTTAGAGAAAAAAATAAAATAAAAAAATGAACGTGCTAACTGAGTAAAGTTGTGAAAGATCAATAAGTAACTGATTAATTGGATTGTATTATCTTGACAATTAATTATCTCTCATTAATTTTGTCAATCAAAGTATCACCTCTTAAAGTTTAGAGGGTAACAAATTAATAACAATTAATTATTAGCAACAATTAAATTTTCCTAAGTACATTAAACTGATTTCAAGTGATTTCATTTATTGATAATGATACTAATATATTAATATTGTTATCATGACAATAATGGTTATAACAATCTCAGAATTGTCAACAACATAAATTAACTTTTTATCCATTAATTCATTATGATTGAATCAGAGTGAAAATAGAAAGTTAATCTCAACCTTGATTGTTACCTGTTAAAGTGGTTACTCGATTGTTTTATTTGGTTGATTGTTGAGTTATTAATGAGAAAAGGTAAAGTCAACAATCAAGAAGTGTAAGGTCAGGGAATCAAATTGTTATTACATAGTAAACACATTTAACCAAAGGCTTTTTTCAAATATCTAAATTGTTTCAATTGTCTCAATTGGATATCAAAGGTTAGAATCTGGTGATGAAAATTGATAAGATATTTATTAGGATTCTTGGTGATTCTGAGAGGATTAAGTTAATGACAATCAGATAGAGAAATGATTGCTACAGGTAATGATGAAATCGGTGATAAGCTACATGGTGTTTAAAGGTTATTTGATTGTTTTCAGTTAATGGTTTGGGTTATTTATTGGATTACTCTGATTAATTTGAGATTCTAGTGAAATTTTGATATTTTTTTCCAGCGTTTTCATGACTTACTTTTGTTTCCATGTCCGAGTTTTTAAATGACAATGTAAACCATTTAACATTGTCTTTAATCATCTTCTTGTTTGATTCAATTTCAATTGAATGGTCAATAAGTTCATCTACTTGTTGACTGACCGTTAATCTTATTTCAGCTTTAAGTTTCTTTGGTTTTTCATCAACGTAATCATCATCGTCATCATCTTTCCGGTGACTTTCAGAGTCGCATATTCCCATGGGTCCTGTAATTTTATCCATTTCCATTGATCCATCAATTGAATTGATTGAAATAATCATTTTATTTGAACTTTTACCTGAACTTTTGCCACTTTTTCGAGCCTTTGATAAACCTTTTGCATTGACCTTATTTAAGTTTCGAGCAATCTTGGTGGCCGAATCAATCTCGAATGGATCATCATCAAGAGAGTATCTTAAATCATTAAACTGACCAAATTGATAGTAATGGTCAGAGGGAAAATTTTGATGGAAAAGAACACGAAAAAACGAAGCAAATTGATAATAATAAGATCAATTATCTTTCTCTGAGACTTATGATGAAAAATGACGAGAAAATGATGAAGATAAATTATATTTACATTGCCGAAGGGTATTTCTGGAGTCCATTCAACGGTTCCATCATCTTCACCACTTTGTGAACTTAATGAACTAAAGATACGTTTGCTTTCATCTGTAGATGAAATTGAATTCAGTGGTTCAGAGCCTAAGGTATTAACTGAACATTTACCATTTCTTTTGGGTGGATTACAGTTATCAGGGAAAACTGAGGTAGAATCTTGACTTAGACTTCGATCCTTGAATGAACAGATAACACCATGAGATGAATACACCTTAAGAATCGAATGAAGAAAGAAAAAAGAAAAAAATAATAAATCAAATAGGTAAAGAGAACAACAAATTTTCCTCAATAATCTCATATAACAAGAAAGAATCAGACAAAGTTGAAAAGTTCTGAAAGGTTATATCTAAAATTCCAACATGATAATAACCCATGAAACATGATAGAAAAAAGTAAACAAAATAATTTACCCTTTTCATGTTTGTTGGTTCAGTTCGTTTGATCAGAAATGTTTCAATCTCATGATTCCTCAGGTAATTGTCCCTTGATTGTCCATCGCCAGGTTCAACTTCATACGAATCACCAAGATAATTTAAAGTTGCTTTTGAAATATGAACTCGGCTGATTAAAAAAAAAGAAACAATTAAATCAATTACATGTATAAAAGTGAATCATATTGACCAAGATAAAATTACATGAAAAAATATTCATACCCTGCAAGTCCACCCGATTCCATGTGATTGGCCAGGGTAACATCATTTGACCATACATCGAACTGCCACTTTCGCAGACCCAAAACACCACATAAAACTGCTCCCGAATGAATACCTATCCTCATGTTTAGATCGAATTCCGTCTTTTTTCGAACTCGTCTGAAAGATTAGAATGATAGATCAACATTTTGGCATCAAATCTCGAACTAAAATTGACTTACTTGATCGCTTGGATCATATGTAGACCCATTTCAACGCAACATTGAGCGTGATCTTGTCGAGGATCAGGAAGACCAGAGACACAATAATAACAATCACCTAATAATTTAATTCGAAGACAATGATTCTCGGCAGCCAGTTTATCGAAGCGGGCAAATAGATCATTCAAAAGACGGACCAATTCTTGAGCTGAACATCTCGATGCCAGAGCAGTGAATCCTTGAATATCAGCAAATAAAATACTATGAAAAATGAAAAATCACAAGTTATTACCAAAAAAAGGTCATGAGAATCATAAGAAATTTAAAACTTTATCACATTTATAATAACATTTTTCTCAATTGCAGTGAAAAAGTTAGAAATTATTCAGAACGTAACCATGGTAACCAGAATAAGAGATGAAATATTTACAGATCATCATTCTGACTATGATTAAACTTTATTTGTTAGAGAGGACAAGATGAATTCAAATATTAGTTAGACATGGGGAATGTGAAAAAAAGAGATATATAAATAAATCAACATGATAAATGATGAAAAGAATTCAATGTTTGGTGAAAATTTTGTTTCTCTCAAATAATAACGATGGAGATGAAACTTTCTGATTACAGAATTCAGATTATTTCCATCTTCATCTTTTCTACGGTTTGATAAGATGATACATCATGATAATGTTAATTTCTCATCAACATTAAGAATCATCTGAATGAACTTACCTGACATCTTTATAACAGTGAATATAAATCTTATGAAATTGAGCTGATAACAGTTTCCTGTGATCTTCCTCTTCAGCGATATCTTTAATTATCTCTAAAGCCACAAAACGAGGTAAAAGAGAGAGTAACAGTTTCTCCTGGAGAATCATCATGAAAATTATCATGATAATCGAGATGTGGGAAGAGATAAATATAATAGAAAGAGATAAGGAAGAAAAAAAGATTTAGAAATTAATCAGAGATGCAAATGAGCCTGAAAATAATAATATTAGGAATTGAAACGATAACAATCATTAAGAGAAAAATTCTTGAAATGTTAATCATGATCATCATGATTTAATTACAACAGTTAACCATAACTTTGATCCTATTAAATGTATTCAATGTCAATTAGTGATTTTCATTATCATGTTAATTCAATTAATTAAAGCATTTTCTTCAGATTATATTATCTTATATGTAATGAAATAAAACTCATCATATGAAATCATTATCATCTCTTTATAATTTCATGGAAATGTTTCAGTTTAATTATCAGGGTGAATTCAGTAAGTTTCTGAATGTCATGTGACCTTATTAACAGTAGTTGCTCATAATTTACGATGAAAACTCAAAGTTTCTGTGGAATTATGAATTTGGTGGTTATTATCATGATAGACAAAATGATTCATCATGAATAAAGTTATGGGAGGATTGGTAATGAGTAAGTTCAGTTCAGTTATTAAAAGTTAAATAATCTCAATATACTTTTAGCTCATTTCATTAATGAGTTAGTTTCAAATTGTCACCATTTCATCATGAACTTCAACAAGTTTCAAGTTTAATGAGACAAATGATTAAGGAGAAGAGGGAACTTATCATTACGTGCTCATGATGGTGATCACTTTTTATCACCAGAATTAAACTTGAAAATTGTATGAGATTTTCTCGATAATTAAATACACTAATTAATTGAGTTGAAGTTGAATCAGGAGTGAATTTGAAAACTTCAGCACTTTTTTATGCAAGAACAGGATAACTTCATGATAATCATGATAATCATGATACGAAAAAAAACTCAATGACGTTTATTAATTTGAACAAATTTTCTTTCCCATGGTAAAAGTTCTGTGTGTATCTGAATATATATAAGTTTCAAACAATAGCAAAAAAGGGAAACTATTATTATAATAAACTCGAGTTGACACCTCATGTAACTTTTAATAACTTTAATATTCGAAATTTTTTCCATACTCGAAATTAGAAAGTTCTAACAAGAAAGTTTAGTAATGGGCTAAAAGTTTTACTTCTTTGTTGAAACTAATGAACAAATCGGAGATTGTTAGAACGTTGTTAATATTGCATTTAACAGATTCGACAAATTTCAGATAATATCAACTTTCAAAATTTCATTAGTGTCGCATTTTTTTCAGATCAGAATCACAGTTTTGAGTCCATTGTAAATGTCATTTGTAAGATATTGAATTTTGATTTAAATCCTACTGAAAATCTTTCATTCAGTAAAACTATCATACATGTAAAATTTGACGTTACACTCATATAAACGTAAATAATTGACATTAACATTTAATATGCTCTTTTATAAACTATTAATACCTTCAAATGATTTTGAAACACGTTATTTCACCGCTGGCATAGATCTTTCAATAGGACGATTGAGTATTTCTCATATTGTTCAAGCTTCCTTCAAGACTCATAGTTACCGAAAAAATCGAAGAAAAAATCGGTAAGAAATAAGAAAAGTAGCCGAATTGCCCTGTAATTTCATACATTTCTAAATTATCACGAGTTCTTCGTAGGAAATTTCGTTTTAATGATTATTGGAACTCTCTTCTTTTACTGAGAATCCAAATTCGGTTTATTTGTAAGGATTGAGAAATAAGTTCTTACCTGTTTACCATTTTCTCGCTCGATTTTGTATCTTGTTTCAATGGATCGACGAGTCTCAAGAAAAGCATTTCTCTGGGCACAATCAGTCAAATATTTGGTATATAAACTGACAAAGTTGATGCATAAATATATCAATATATTTGCAGTTAACTAAAGGAGACAGAACCAGGAAAAGGAAACAGGGCAAGAGAAAGGAAAAAAACATCAATCAAAATTAATGCCATTGGATTATCACCAGGCGATGAAAAAGATATTAATCAGATTTAAAAGTATTCTTGATGAATAACAATGAACGAAGGATCAAGTTTGAATATTTCATTTTCCATGAAATCATCAGGGTGAAAACATTGAGATGATTTAGTAACAGTTAAGATCCCAATAAGACTTTAAAACTGATCAATCAGAAAGAGACATTGGAGTCTAAATGTCAATGATAATGACAAATATAATTGAGAGTTCAAACGAAATTAAAAAATTCAATTCTGTTGTATTTCGATGACATGAATTTCATGTGTAATCTTTTTCTATTATGTCTTTTTCTAGGTGAAAACCAGAGATGAGGATGAGTTGATGTTCCAATGATGTGGAAGACAAAGATGTAACTTTGACAAAATTTTTCGAAAAGAAAAGTTCTTATAATATATTCTACAGTGTGTAAAACTCGTACACATGTAATCTCATGATGAAATCAGGGTATTAAAAGACAGAATCTATGTCCATTATCATGGGCTTAGATTAAATGATAAAAAGTAGAAAATATTGTCTTGGAAAGTTGAACTATCATCAGATGACATCTAGACATTGGAAATACATGAGAAAATGGAAAAATGAAAATATGATGATCGTCAAGATGAATTCTGGACTCAAATTCATGTCAAATATCATTGAACATCATGTAAGCAACAGGAGGACTAATCAGAATTGTCACCAATAGAAAGGCTTCAAAAATCAAAAGCTTCAAGTGAAAAGAGGACAAAAACAAAATGATAACCTTGACTATCATGTACTCAGTATATTTCATGGTAGTGAATCTTTGGTAAATTCAGTTGTCCAGATATAATGATGAAAATAACTTCGGCAAGACAAAACTCGGTGTAAGGAAAAAAAATATCGCAAAAGAAAATCAATTATTAACTTTACCATTTCAATTCTGATTCTGGTGACATATTTTTTTCCAGGCTTCTTATCCCCTTTGAAACTTACACTCTGACAATTTCAATATTTATCTTTATCATGTAATGATAATAATCATGTTATCAAACTTAATTATCTCAAGCTTTCTGGTCTCATCTGATTCAATATCATGTATAACCTAAGGGTTTATATTAGTATTAATATATATTTGTTGTGTCCATCATAACTGTGTTATCATTGTTTGACCCTACTAAATATTGGATCAAGATGAATACCCTTCTTATCATGAATTTCTGATCATTTTACTTGGTTAAGTATCTCATGTTTTTATTATCATGGAATCAGATGGAATATATTCAATTGGTCGATTGATCGATAAACAGTTGTTGAGAAAATACAACATATAAGTTCTGAAATTGATTCTTAGAACTAAAAATAATATCGCAAGAAAAATAGAAACTATCGTATTCTTTTCTTTTTCAGTGAAATTCTGTGGTTCATATCTCCTGGATTCTCAATACTCTTATTCTAAATCCATGTAGGTGTCATAAAATGTTAACATTTCATTGGTATTCATAGAACAATAATGATAATGATAACTTGCGATATTTGATATCGTTCTAACTCTTGATTGATAGTTTCGAGTTTTTATATTTCATGAAGGTCAATGAATAAATAGAAAAAATCATGATAAAAGTATCATTTGTAACTCAATTTTGAGAAAATTTCTGATCAAAAGATAACATACTTAAAGTTAATTGAATAAACGAATCAAGAAAATTCTGATTTCAATTATCTCAGAGCTGTTCATAAATATATTACGATTTCCTCTCTTTAAAGTTATTAAATTTAATGAACTGTGGCCTTGAAACGCTTATCATGATTATGAACTTGAATTCCCTGTTGACATTTAATATCGATACGAATCATTAACTTTTTGATCATTAGAATGGTGAAAATCATCAAAATGCTGAGCAAATCATTGAACAAAAAAGATAATATTTTGTACCAGGTAAGTGAGACAATCAACTACAAACCATTGAACAATCAAAAAATGAAGATTGTTTTTTGTAAACTAAATTAGATTATGTCATCAAATTGTGTGAGATTTTTACAAATCAAACAGTTTGATTGATTGATTTGTTGTGCAAGCAATTGAATTTAATGGTAACTCTCACCTTTCTACTAAATGTTGAAGGTGATTCTTGACTATCAAAAATGAAAGTGAGGCACATAAATATTATATCAAATATGGAGGTCATTAGGCCACAGAGGACACACCAACGAAGGGGTAACGGCATCATGGCAAAAGTAACAAAAACAATGAACACGGTGGGCCAAACAATCCCACCTTTAGGTAAGTGTAACCTATTGAAATCTTCATCAAATTGGAAGCCAAGTAAAGCTAAAGTTAAGATGAAGAAAAAAAAATTGAACAAATGAAACATTAATAAAAGTAATACAATTTCAATCAGTTGATTTGAACAAATTCAATGAGGAATAGAAAATTTTTATTCCAATTAAAAATAGCAAGTTAATCAGATATTGAGATAAACTTTGAATTTTTTCATGATTAATTTAATGGCGTCGCATTGAAACTTTCACCCCATGTAAATGAGTTGAAACAATAATCCAGCATTTCTACAAAAACAAGATCACTATAACCTCTTGAGATTTACAGGGAGGATGAAAGAAAAGAGAGATTGTAATGATGAAAAATTGGGTGAATATGAAGATGAATGAATCAAGATAAAAAAGATGATGATAAGTTCTTTGTATTGTTTTGAATATTGAAAAGGTTTTCTTTTTTTCTATCAGATAGTATTAGGTTCAACTGTAGAGAAATAGGTTATACAGGGCTATTCAACTCTATTTATGCACGTTTCCAGTTATAACTCAAGAACCTTTCGCCCTACAACAATCAAACTTCGTAAATAGATACTTTTGAACATTGGTGAACCTCCAGTGAAAAATTTCAAGGTCACTGAAGCTATTTCTCAGAGGAACTTATTTAGAGGTCATTGGAAGTTTTTTTTGGGAAAAAGATCATAAAACTACCCATGTTTACATTACATGTTGCTCGAAGTTCTCCAATGTTCAATAGTATCTATTTACGAAGTTCGATTGTTGTAGGGCGAAAGGTTCTTGGGTTATAATTGAAAACGCGCGTAAAATAAAGTTGAATACCCTGTATATTGGAAGAAAGAAAAAGTGAAGAAAAAGTTTCGATTTAAAGTTACGGGTACACGAGGGGAAACAGAATTTACATTGTACATGATCATCACCAGAATTTTCAGCGAAATATTCCAAAAATAAAGTAAGAAAAGGAGAGAGAGTGAGAGATAAATATACAACTCTGAATACGAAAAAAACTTCAAGGTTCCAAAGTATTTGAGTGAGAACAAAGTGAACAGAATTTGAAAATCCCTTTGTAAAAAAAACGAAATCTACTGGGAGTGAGAATACAAATAAATATAAATAAACGTCACAACATAAGAAAATGTTATATTATTAAGAGAAAACAATAATAATAAACAGGATAGAAAATCATGCTAATGAAAAACAGTTTCAATCTAATGATCATCGATTCATTTATCATCATTCTCATGTATTAGGATGATCAAAGTCAGAAATTAACTAACAATCAACAGTAATTAAACTAAGAAAATCTTAGAGAGTAATTTAACAATAAAATTAAGATTACTAGAAAACTATTAGAAAAATTAAAAACTTCAGGTCAAAATGATGAAATGGCCTCAAATTATTTTATCGTCGATGCTAGAAATGAATAATGATTTCAATATTTAAAATTGAAAATAAAATTCGATATTTTACTTTGATAAGTGAAACAATTAATAATCTATTAAGGAGAATTAAATTCAATTTGGTCTTAGCAAAATTGAAATTTATGAAATGAAATTTTTACCATTGAGTATGGAAAATTTCATGATCTCGTGATGAATTTTCATAGAAAAAGACAAATTTAATAATTGTGATTAATTAATTGTTGAAATTTCACTAAAAAATAATTTATTCAATAAAAATATTGAAATCATCATACTGTAATAATTTGAACCATTTCATCATACAATTGTCAATTCAATTTTATTAGACTTCTCTAATATACGTGTTGATAATCAATTTCTGATCATCCTAATAAATATAACTAAAAAAAGGCTTAAATTTTTGTCTCAATTCTACTAATGACATTACAGAACGATAATCAACTCTAAACTTACCTTCCAAGTTAAATGTTGCCAATGTAAATGCAGCAGCAATATGAAGATAATTGTTTGCACAGTAATTCCAACAGGTAATGAATATAATGATTAGACAATTGTTCAATAGCCATGGAAGTGCATATAAAGGTCCAAAGGCAGAATCAGTATTGGTAAAGTTGGAATACTCATTGAGAGGAGGTGGTGAGGAAGTGATTGAAGATGATATTGATGAGGATCTTATTGATTTTAGGTTAATTGTGAGGAAAGATATTTTCAATATTATATCAATTAGATTGACAATCACCAGTGATTTTTGCCTCTGCCTTTGGGAATACTTTTGATATCCGCTTTCAAGATGGTCATCATTGAATTCATTGGACAACTTGGGTAAATGGACACCAACAAAATCACTTGACCCCGAGGCGAAATAAAGTGTCCGTTGGGATGGATTATGATTACGGTATGAAGAGTTAACTGTTGATTGTTGATCTCCATCGATTTGATTAATTGAACTACCTGAGACCGGTGAACATGGATTAGAGGTTGTGGTTGTTGTATTGTTTTCTATTGAATTGTTTCTTCTAGTTGATCCTCTTAATCCAATTTGCCAAGTTCGCTTACGACGAAAGTAAAACGCTGTCGATGTCAATGATGACCTTAACCTGGAACCTCGACTAATCTTACCTTCACCATTCTCCTTGTCACTTGACCCTTTTTTATCACTTCTCCCTGAAGAAATCTCATGAAAATCCGAGTCATGGTCATTCAAAGTGATTGATAAATTGTTTCTCGATGAACTTTCAATTCGACAACAATCAGATTGATTAGGTGAATCTTCAGTGTTCACATTTTTTATCTTTATCGCTTGTCCATTGGAATCATCACTCTCAGAGGTTTGGTCAGTTTTCAAAATGAAAGTGGGTTTGGTCAAGTCTTTCAAGTTCAAACGTCCAAGTTTCCCACTGCCAAAACTTTTCAAAGCAATCTGATTGGAACATGACATTGAATTTAATTTAATTAAACTAAATCACAATCAAAGATAGTCATTAATTTAACTTGATCCTGTCCATTGATAAACTTTTATAAACTCTGGTCACTTGAAATTCTGTTTCGATCTGAAAAGTAAGAGATTAATGGAAATGAGAATAATTAACTTATCATCAGATTAATAATATCGAAATAATTTATCGTTTGGTAACAAACAATTAAGCTCACATGAGAATTGACTTAATCAGATTAACCTTTCCGATTATTAAATATTAATCTTGGTTAAGATGAATTACAATTATCTTATCATCTTATTAGCAATCTAATTCGTTCATACCAGTTATCAATACGTATGTAAAGGATTAAGAAATAGATTTTAAATCTAATCTAATCAACTTCTCTCTTAATCATTTATCAAACAATCATAATCTCATTCTGATGATTTAAAGATTAATTTTACTTATTTCAAATTCAATATTTTCTATTGTTAAGATCACGAAATATTATAATACAGTTAAACTGAATCATCGGCATGGAATCAGTTATGAAATTATTGAAAATAATAAATAAGATGTACTTATGATTTCCCCCGGAGGCTATTACTTTTATTCATATAATACAAGAGTAAGATAATTTAATATCTATTCAAATTGAATCAACAATTAACAAAAGATTATTTCTTATGTTCATGATAAAATCAAAGGTAAAAAAATGTAATAAAACTGAGATGATTTCAAGTATGAATTTAAAGTCTCTATGATTGCTACAAGCTTATTTGATTGTCAGTTGATTCTTGCAATTTAAATATTAGACATCAAAGTGAGTTAATTACACTGATTAAAATAGAGATTAGAGATTTATTCAGGATAATTAATGGATAACAATTAAATCATCATCACCATTGAAAGATGTAAATTATTAACCTGAGTAGTTCATTGGGTTCTCATGTATTATATGTCTACTGTTGATTCATCACCATGATGAATACTACAGTTTACTCAACATTTTGCTTGGATGATTCTGAATGTCAACTGGTATTATTATCACAATTATTTCAACACTGTTATTAATATCTTCATGATAGACTCAAATAACTCATCACGATAATAACACAATAACCCGAGTAACATGAAAACCACCAGAATTGTGTAATTGTATCTTTGATAAACAAACATTACAACATAATCTTGACAGATAATCTTGTTTGGAAATCAATTGGGGTGAGTCATTAATTTCATGATACGAAAAAAGAATCAACCTAATATTTATCGTAGATGATAAAAAATTTCAGTCTAGAATGAGAACCTGAAACTATTGAAGAAAGAGAGAGAGTGAGGGAGGGAGAAAGAGAGAAAAAAAGTTCTAAAAACTGTCGAACTCATCAAACTTGAACCATAGAAATGATTATATTCCAAGTGAAGAAACCATTCCAATGTTATTGTTACAAGATGTTTCTCTTTGACTGTGATATCATTATCGTATAGATTACAAAATAAATACACTGACCTTTTTTGACCCTGAAGGTGAATTATTATTGATACTATTCAGATCATTTCATGTGATAAAATCAGAATGACTGGTCACCTGACTGAGCAGAATCAATACTGAGACTTTTCATCTGATTTATAACTTGGACTAAAATAGAAAACCAAATAGAAATAGAATAAAAAAAAGGAAGAATTTTATTTCCGATTATATATTATATCAGAAAAATAGAATAGAAAATGAATTTCCTCAATAAATACAGTTTATCTTTTCGTTGTTAATCTAATATATTCAATCGAAATCATTTTATCTACAAAACAAAAGGTCAAACTAATTTTTTTCTGTTTTGAGTCCATTACTTTTCGTTTGTTGCTATTTTAGCTTTCGTTGTAACGTCATAATCAAATTTGGATTAACTTTTCTGCTCAAGTTGATTATAAATAGATTACTATTTGAATAGATTGTTGGTTTTCCATTGATTATCTGATTCAAATTTTCATGGAAAATCAAGTTTAATGATTCATCTGATCTAAATACTTTATTAGATTGATGGTTAGTGTGTATCAAGTTAATTGTCAATAATAATACCCTCATGTTCAATCAGAGTATTTCTATTGATTGTGATTCAACCTCTAGACCAGATTTTTCTTGACAGAATTCATTATGAAAATATAGCCATGAATTTCTGGTTTAACCTTGAATTTCACGATTTTATGAGATAAAATTACCTTGATCTTATTGATCACCATAAAATGAGGCCATTGCTTTTACTTTTCGCCGAATATTGTATCTCTTATTCTTGAAAGTTTTCATGAGAGTTGTGGGAATAAGACAATAAAAATCATGATGATTAAGTTCATGAGAAATCCCATGAAAAATGGGAAACAATTAAAGATATATTTACCTGAAATAAGAAATAGAGAGAGGAAAGTATTGATACTCAATGAAACTTATTCTTAAACCAGAACTTTGCTTTATCCGGAACTTTGTTCAGCTCAACCATTATATTGATTCAATTCATTGAGTTAACCCTCATTTTCATAAACGCCGTTGAAATTTACAGATTGATAACCCAAATTGTAATCTGTTAATTGTAACTGTCAACTTGAAATTATTGTTATTGATTAATTTAGGCCAAGATTAGATTGAGAAGCAATAATGAAAATGTTAATTATCACGAGGACGATTAACTGATTCACCATTGAACTTGAAGCTATAAATTCATTAGATGATCACAATTAAAGCTTAATAATGTTCAGTTGAACCAATTCAAAGTAATACATCATTCACCCTGTGGACTGATGCGAAAACAATAAGATTCAGAATTTTATCAGATAATCATATATAAAAAAGGGATCAGAATCTATTGGGTGGAGTAGCTATTAATGACGATGATGATGATGATGATTATGGTGATAAAAGAGGAGGATAAACAAAAAAAGTACAACATTAAAAGTGACTTTTAATGAGTCTATTTGTTTAATGGGAAAACTTTGCGTTCTGTTGAAAGTTCAGGATGCTGAGTATATCATATTGGTTAAAGCGTGGAAAAAGTTGATGGAAGAACAAAAAAACCAAAGAGTTCAAAGGTTATTATATTTACAGGGAATACTCAGAAGAGAGATAAACAGAAAAAGAGAATCTATTTTCATGGAAATAATAAATTCTATTATGTGTTATTTTTTTTATTGCTAATCAATGAAAACGATGAGGAAAAATTACCACGATAGAAATTGATGAATCAGTTGAGATGAACTTGAATGAGTCTTTATCAATCCAAGAATGAATTTATTTCAACTATATTAGTTCATTGATTCATGATAAATAAAATCCAATGAAGATGATGATGCTCATGAAGATATTGAACTCATCTTGATTCTTATTGAGAGTAACAATCGCAACTCCATGAAGATGACAGCAAATAAATAAGACAAAAAAAAGAGAAATAAAATTCTGACAGAACTTTTTTTTCTCGTCATGAAAATCATTTCTTTTTCTGAGTCACATGAGTATTCAGAGGAATGGTGAATTACACCATGAATCTCCTATTGTTTGATTTTTATCCACAAAAGCTGAAACAAAATCTCAGAACATGTTCAAGAGAAACAGAACTGATGAAATTAATAAGAAACCCAATCATGATCAATTAATTCTGGAAAATTTGAATCATTTTCATGTAACCAGAATTTGTAATTCTGAACAAAATTCAAATAATAAAACTGCAAACATCAAGTCTGATTTAATAATATTTTAATGAGGCAACAATAAGAATTGGAAATGAACGAAAATTATTCAATGAAATTGAATCAAAGATAATGATCAAACGAATGATAATCAGCATGATAAAAATTCTGACAACATGGAGACATAGAAAAGAAAGGAAGAAGAAAAAAGTTCTAACATCATTACAACTCAATTAGAATGTCAGTTCAATCGAGAAAATATTCAGATTCAATAGAACAAAAAAAAATGACAAATTGCTTTCTTCTAACTAATTAATTCATAACTTCAACGCCATGGTATCAATTAAAAGTTCAACCATGATGAACATTTCAAATGAGTGAGATAATTAATCTTATCAAAATATTTATAAGTTATACTTGTATTCATTTAACTTGACACTTGATAATCATGCAAATCAGCATGATAATTGGATTAGATTGTCACCAAGACTGATTATGATCATTGTCCAGTAATGAAAGTTAACAATTTGTGTGTAAAACTTTCACCATCATTGATATTCATGAGTATTCATGGTGATAATGATGGCGAAAGAGAAAGAAAAATTTGAATATCCAAAAACCCTTTCGGTTTGCCCATGTAATTCACCGTGAGAATGCTGAATTAACATGCAAATCAATAAATCTACACATGTATTAGATAGACTTACACTGAATACTCAATGAAAACGACCAGAAATAAACAATGATAAATAACCTGAGCTCCATGAAGTTCTGATCATGTTTACTCAGGGAATTCATTATTATCCTCTGTTAATAAGATTCAACATATTTCATCAGAACTGTTATCATTTCTAATGTTAACATTAAGAAACTCATATTATAATTTATTAGTTACCATAAAGTATCATGAGTAATAACAATAGTCTTAATCTAATGTTTATCATGGGATAAATATGCCAACAACAGGAAACGGATATACTTTACAATTATCATTCATGGTAACCCGGAAAGAAAAGTTGTAACTCATCGTGATGAATAAAAGTTAGGATAATTAACGATTCCGAGTAAAAGCTCATTACTTGTGTTCACCAAGAGATGAACAAGATTTAGGATTTTCTTTCTAATAAACTTTTGTTATGGTAAAACTCAGTTTCCATTGTTGAATATTTTTCGTTTTGAAAATCAACAGAACTTTGAAATAATTTAACAGCTCAAGTGATAGAAATGGAAAGTTATTAATCAACTGATTTAGTCTGCTAATCTACCAGGATTATGATTTACACATGAAGAGGACAATGTAGAAATCAAATCGGATCTAAATCACAATGATAACAATTTATGATCATTCAAACTGATTTATAATCCATTTCAGTTCTGTTGATTAGTTTTAATATCTGAGTAATTAGTGGACAGAGAAAGTAATTAATAATGAAAAATTAAATTGAATACTTGTCTTGAGG